ACACACACACTGTGGATCCCTGGCAAAGACACTATCATGTTTATACTTCATACAACTACTTATATAAATGAAATAAAATCTGAATGACAGCAGGAAGACATCCTAGAATTTAATTTGGCCCTGAACTCATTTAAAGAATGACTATGCCCCACATGTAAGGCACTCCTATGGCATTTTTATAATGAGCAGAAAATAGTTCCCCATATATTGCTGCTCTTTTTTTACTCTTCATTTTTCAACCCTCTATTTTCAACATCAGCTTGTGGTTAGCAGATTCAAGAATATTTTCTCAAATCCCAGGTCTTGGGAAGAACATGAGTCACTTTCTCTAGGGTAAAAATACTTGCCTGAGTAAAACTTTTGTCCCTGGATGTCAACGTTTCAGCCTAGAAATCGCAAACCGTAAAAGAGGAAGAACAAAATGTTTTCATTTCCTTCTGAAACATGTCATTCCAGAATTCAGTACAAGAACTGGCAGGGTTGCTAGCCTGCTGGCTTTTGTGGCACTTCAAATCTGTTGCATAGAGACAGTGGCATTGCTTGAACTCTTAATGCTTCTACGCACTGCTGTTCTGCTCTTCTAGACTGTAGAATGGACAGCATCTTAAGACATCAACAACTGTACAATCCAATCAAAAGACTGTTTCTCAGAGCTGACTGCTTTCAAAGCAAACAGAACTCACATTTCCCCTTTATACTTGGCACTGCATTTAAGCAAATGTGTTTTTTAAATCATAAAACACAGATGTTTAACTTTACAGCCCTAAACTGAAAGGACAGAACTACATATGCCCTGGGTATCTATTCTTGCCAATTCCTGGAAGACTTTCAGAACACAAAGTATTTCGCAGAAAATGCTACAAGATAAAGACTTTTTTTTGGGGGGGGGAAATTCAGAGAGTCCTAGTTATGATCATCTATACATTTTGTTTCCATGGGCACCTTCTCTGATTAGCCAATATGGTAACTTCAAGTCTTCATTTATAATTAGTCCAAGACTTGGGCTACCTTACATGCCGTAATAGGAAATAACTCAAATCTAAAATAAGTATGAATTTATAGCACTTCCAGTGTGCAATGGTTTGCAACTTTTGATGTTTATTCTGAACTGTATATATTGAAATGACCAAAATAATGTTTGTTTTTACATTTCACCTTTCATGCATAGTTCTTCTCAACTCTACAGCATTTACAACAGTGAAGTTATTGTTTCCATTGTAAGAGAGAACTGCTTAGATCTGGGATGGGCAGACAATCAATGGGATTTAGGTCCAAAACACATTGCAGAAATAAACCAGTTTGAGGTCACTTTAACTGCCCTGTTAGCAAATTCTGGGAACTGTAGTTTTGTAAGACATTTAATCTTCTCTGTTAGAGAGCTCTGGTGCCACAATAAACTACAATGTCCAGGATTCCCTAGCACTGAACCAGGGCAGCTAAACTAGACTATTTCTGCAGTGTGTTTTGGACCTTAGTTATAGATCGCTGGATGATATCCAGCTATTTCACAACAGCAATAGCTAAAACATTTTTCTCTCATAAGACAAGTTACTGAACAAGAAGACTGGGGTAAAACCTGGAGTAACTTTTTTTCATCAAAGACTTATGAGTTTGATTCCAATACCAAGTACAAATTTCTGGGCTAAGCATGTCTCATGAGCACCATTTTTCTTAATTCTTAGCTCACAGCTGCCTACCTGAACCAGTGGCTTGCATTTAGCTTAGTGGATTTTCTTTTAAAAAAGTAGGTCCTATAAACCTAAAGACTCCCCATCATTAGCTTAGACCAGTGATCCTCAAAGTAAACAGTACGCCACCCCCGTGAAGGGCAGTGGAAAGATCGGGGGGGGGGGTGTGATGAGAAAAAAGGGAACAGCAGGAGGGTGGTGAGGAATAGAGGGGTGGCAGAGGGTCTTCAGTCAAGTATTGGTGCCCAAGAAAGACAAAGGGAACCAGTGACCTTTCAGGCCATGGTGGGGATGAGGGTTGCATGAAACTTTTTGTAAGGATCCCTTAAAACCATTGCAAAGCCTCGCTGCTGACTTAATGTGGCAGTGTCTCCCACTCTTCGCTTGCCCAAGTGAGCTCACTCCCTTAGCACTGTTTTTCACTAGTAGCGGTGGTTGGGAAACTTTCATGAGGTTTGAACACACTTCTGTGGTTCTGAGCAGCACGATTTTGGGACAGACTGACTGGAGCAAGGAATTAAGAGCACATGGGGCAGGGGAGAAGCTGCAGCAAAAAGGAGCTTTCAAATCTGGGGCCCTGCTTAAGCTTTGCTGGAACTTGGCTGGCAGCTTGGAGCTGTGCTGCTGCTCCTGCTTTCTTTCATCACAGGCGGAGAGAAAAGGTAGCAGAAAAAACAGAAGACCTATGTGTTTAACAATGGCATATTTGTGCAGCTGGGAGCAAACATTTCAGGTAGAGGACCAAAAAGCAAAACAAAACCCTCACTAAGTAGCCAGTCAGCAGTCACTACAAGTCTAATGTTTACTGCTTATGTCTGGTGGTCCAACAAGATGTGTGATGTTTTTCTCATTTCTTGAGTTCTACATAAATGTGGGAATTCAGAGACGGAAGTGGCATCTTGTTTTTGCACACAGACAGAACATAAGGAAAGGAAACATGTCTCATTTCACAATGGACTTTGGGAACACTCAAAAGACTGACCCTCAGCATGAAATGAGAGATAATCCCATGTCTCATTCAAATCCACGTGAGAAATCTTGGGAAATGAGTGAGATCAATGGTTACCAGAAATAAAGGCTGGCTATCAAAGCCAGCCACGAGTTCTTGATTTATT